ATGCGGAGATCATTTAATTTTCGAAAATACCCAAGAGAGAAATATAACAAATACTTGCCTTCTTCATTAAAAAAAAAGTCGATTGTTTTTTTTTTACACATTTTTATGTAGGTCTATAGAGTGCTCCTACATACTGACTAATAAGCCTCACGAATTAAATTGTTCCATAACTAATGCAATTCATATGTAAACAGTCCGCACATTCACACTAATAAGGGAGCATTGTTTTCATCAAGTCAATCGACATATTTGCACAATGCCATCTATGGTGACGAAGAATTAATGCCATTATGTCACTTCGTCTGAATGACACATACTCGTTCGAATTACAAACTTGGTTTTTCATGAGAACATGTGAGAACGTAGTATTTTTATAGTTGCATTAAACAATTTACAACGTATATATCAAGTTTAGAAATATTCAAACATTGAGTGTTTATACAAAGAGGTTTGAACATTGAATCACAGCATAAAAAACACAAGCTTTTGCTAACTGAACAACCAAACTTGAATTACTAAACATACAAAGTTTACTTTTCATTGTGATACCCAAAAGAACTCCTCTAATATGACGTCCCCATAAAACAATTCCTCATAAGCTTTCTTGAGGAAAAACGTATTAGCTTCACAGAGAATTCTACAGGTTACAGATACAGTTTTGAACACATGGTTGACGAGTCGAATTGGTTTTGGTCAACAATAAGTACTTGGATAGGCAAAATAGTGGCAGTTGGTACCGTTATTAAAGTCACAGTTGTTACTTTGGAACTGTGGTAAATTGACTGGTTCATTAGGCGACACATGGAACAGTAGGTTTCCTGTTTTTTAAAGGTTTGGGAAAGAAGGAGGAAATTAGTTTAGCAACCACAGCGCCGCGACGATCACGTCCAGTAGATGTTAAATTACACTTCTCCTAAAATAAAAGGGAAATGATTAAATATTATTTGGTTTGCCACATACGCATGGAGAGTTTGGGGCCTGATCTATACTGGCCTGGGACCGGAGGTAATTATCCACGGCTCGCTCCACAGGAAGAGATTTTAATCCAGCTTCAGACTTGCAGTTTGTTATTCTTTTTATTTACCGGATTCTTCTTTGTTGATCCTTTGTTGGAAATAAAATGCATACAGGTTTTATAGAAATATGATGACTAACAAAGCTTTTGTGCTGGGACAAGGAACCAAAACTTTTGATAAACGCAACACAATAAAACATATTGGGTGGTTGCTCCATTAGTAAGGATCAGGAATTAGGGTTAGCATACATCCTAGAGCCAGGCATCCCAAAACCTAAAGTAATCGCGGGGCCACAATCAGCATTATGGCTGGGACTCAAAGGGCCCGTTGTAAGCTTATATATAAATTTTTATATATCAAATATGGGTATTAATATTACATTATTCTTCCCCTGCATTGGGATTATTATTGGATAGGGTAATAACTTCATAAGGGGAGGATTACGTCTGAAAGGGAGGAATCTGGGGGCAAATAATTGGAAAGTCTCTTCAGTGAGGAATGTCACAAAATGACTTTAAAAGAAAAAGCTGGTAAAAATG